GGTGTGGGTGTGGGTGGGTGTGGGTGTGGGTGTGGGTGGGTGTGGGTGTGGGTGTGGGTGTGGGTACCGACATCACGAGAAGTCTCACACCCACATCCACACCCACCCACACCCACACCCACACCCACACCCACACCCCTACCCACACCCACACCCACACCCCACCCACACCCTTATGTCCTGGCAATGATTGTTCAGTTTGTCTCTTGTTTACAGATATTGATGGTGCGTAAAAGAAAGACGGTTAAACAAAACAGTTCTAATCTATTCCATTGAAAACTACTGATCTTATTCGCATTGCCCTGCTTCATGACAGTTGATACTGATTAGAAAATTTGTTTTCATGCTTCTCTACCAAGTAATAAACTAAAACCTGCATTGCTATGGCACTGTGGCATAGGATAAAAATTTTCGTCTTATAAGAGACTATCTGTGCCCAAAACTTGTTTCGTTCGGGTATTGATTTTATATTACTTGGCAAAGACGTATCTATTATATAGAATTATATAGTAGAGTTACGTATTGATAGTGCGACTTGTAGTATTCAAACTATCGACGATCACACTTGCAAGAATTCGTAGGGGATCAACAATATAGGAATCGAAAAGTCGATTTACATTTAGGCTCGAAATCTTGGGAATTACGAGGGTTAGAAATTCGAATTGATTTCTGGAATTCTACATTAGTGATGTATGTAAGCACGATTTCGTCTCACTCTCACTCTGTGCCATAGTGGAAAAACCATAATTAACAGTTGAACAATTGAATTGAGCTTAAGAAGATGCGCACATGGCTTGTGTTCTAGATTTATTTATCAAATACGTTTTGTATCGCTTATTAAATATCTAAAAGTTCGTCAAACCTCTCCACTTGGTATGCTTTTAGAAAATTGAATAAAATGCTCAGAATACTTTCTGGCGGTAGAATAGTTCATCGTGAAAAGATGGATACTGATCATGCGGATTATCTAAGAGTTATTGGAGCTGGATTACCACGAACAGGCACTTCATCACTGAAAGCTGCTTTAGAACAACTCGGCTTTGGTCCTTGCCATCATATGGCCGAATTATTCTTTAAACCCGAACGACGTATACTATTCTCAAGAGCATTGGATGGACATAAAGTCGATTTTTATGAAATAATGAAAGGCTATGGATCGACAGTGGACGCTCCGACACAAAGTTTTTACAAGGAAATTCATAAGGCTTATCCGAAAGCGAAAATAATACTCACAGTACGTGATAGCGGAGAAAAATGGTTTGAAAGTGTGACAAATACAATTGCACAGAGCGCTACTGATATATTCTATTACATATCCATTTATCCAATTCGATCTTTCCGTATGCAGTGTATTGTCAACCAAAAGGTTTTTAAAAGGTGGATGAATGATTATGGTGAAATTGGGCCACGAACTCACGACTTACATAATGCACGAGTGATCAACGAAAATAGAAGTGATGAATTACTCGTATACAATGTTAAAGAAGGATGGGCTCCTCTATGTAAGTTTCTGGACGTACCAATACCAATAGACATTCCATTTCCGAATGTGAACGACACCAAATATATTCAACGGGTGTTTTTCAGAGCTAAGCTCCTCGGATGGTGTGCTTGGACATGTATTGTCACCGTGGGAGCCATTATAATCTATTTCTTCATTAAACTTACGACTCTTTGATAGCTTGCATACTGTTACTCTCTCCAAATTTATTCAACAACTATTATTTTCCTTAGATTTTCTATTATGAATCAGACAATTAAGTATAATGGAAAAACAACGGACATTGTTTGCGTTCCAAAATCATTCTTTTTCGCTACACTTGAGTGAAAATATATAACTTGAGATACATATTTAAAGTGCAACTCTGCAATCATAGTGAAAAATCAAAGTGTTGACATAAGAGTGTGGGTGTGGGGTGTGGGTATGGTGTGGCTGGGTGTGGGTGTGAGTGTGGGTGTGGGTGTGAATGTGGGTGTCGGTGTGCGTGTAGACAAGAACCACCCCATACTCACACCCACACCCACACCCACACCCACGGCCACACCCACGGCCACACCCACACCCACACCCACCCACATCCACACCCTATTAGATAAGATGTTAATTTTCGTTATCTTTATGTGAGGTGAAACAATCTGGAAATATTGTAACCATGATGTCACTTCATTATAATACGATAATTTATAAAAAATTTCTACAAAATGAAGCAAATCCTTAATACTACAAATCATTTTACACACTAAGCTATTAGTGGTAGATGCGCAATTAACAAAATCAGTTAGTTTTTGTTATTATTCTTAGATCAATTTTTGCTTCGCTGTTCTTATTCAATAGTCTTTTACCAATATTCGTAGAAGAAAATTCATTCTTATAAAATGTTGATGGCATTATATAAAGGAAATATCCAAGAATTTGAGGAAAAAACGAGAGAAAATAAGCAGATGTGAGAAGATATCGTTGCCATATAATATTTAGTTCAGTACATACTAGAGAAAATGACATAATGAATTGTGGTAAAGCACAAAATAGAATAAATAATGATGGTAGAAAGAGTTCTTTTTGTCTTGCAAATTGTATTTTATAAACTGTTAATAAAGATTTTTGTTTATCAATAATAGTGCGTTTACGTGCAATTAAAATTATGAGAATAAATGTGGATAAGAAATTAATAAAGAATGGAACTAAATAATGGATAAAAGTGTTTGTTTGATTATAAATCGATAATATCAAACTATATTTTGAAACACACCATGTACCTTAAATAAAAAATAATGAATATTTTATGATATAGTTTAAATTATTGATCATTATTGTGTAAACAAAAGTACATCATTTCAATTAATATTCTTACCATATTGTGTATATTTTGGATCTGGAACAATCTGATAATAAATGAGTTCATGAATATGTGAACTAAATATTATCAATGTAGTGATAAAAATGATACGTTTAGCTATTCTAGGACTTTTTAACCATTCTCTTTTTGGATACATTGTTACATACACGCGTTCAATTGTAACAAAACCCATTAACCAATAACTCATTCTTATTGATGTAGAAAGAAGAAAACTTATCAATTTACATAAAATCATATTCAACAATTCATTTGTAATCAAACTTTGTGTACCAAGAAGAATATATATGAGTTTTAGTAATAAAGTTGACAACGATATTTGCGATATGATACTGTTAATAAACAGATACCATCCGATACCTATAAGACTTGGACGTGGACGACGAAATGTTATGAAACAAAAGTAATTATTAATCAAGCCAAATAGAAAAAGACTAATCACCGTTATTAAATAAATACTGATCGATAATTTTTGAATAAGAATAGATGATGAAAATAGATCTGCAGTTATCAATGATTCTAAGTTAAAACTCAATACTTTTGTATTATGTTGACAAATTGAACCAAAATAACATTGTGGACATAAACATAAATAATCTGATTTCATTTTTAAATCACCTTGAATACAGTGACCACCAGATAAACAATATGAACATTGTTCTACCGAACGATCATACAAAAAACATTCAGCATGTTGAGTTACATCACAAAAACAAAAGTAATCATCATCATGAAAACATAATAGACTAGATTTTTGTTTAATATTATCACATAACAAATGATATTTGAAAATAAATAAAGATGAATTAAATGAATGATACGTTGTATCATTATAAAAATCTTTAAAAAAAGAAGATATTGTATAAGAAAATATGGATAAAAGTAAACTTACTTAACGATTGATTAAGGATTGTACCATCATCTATATTAAATAATAGACTTGTATGAGGACAATAAGTTTGTTGATTTAAAACTAATGTTAAATTAATCGATGTACTATTTTCTGCAATGTATAATAAAAAATAAATTTCACGATAATTTGATGATTGTTGTTTATAGAAAAACTTTATTATACCAATTGGTGGTACAGCTTTATCATCATAAATAATATCTGTTCCAGTTAATAGTTCATTTTTATATAGATTTTGTTTATAAACAATCATTTGAAAATTAATTACACTTGATAATTGTATCAATGAAGCAATTATTTTATATTCATCATTTAAAAATGATAAATTCTGATAATGAATGCTAATAATACTACTTTGATATTGACAATTTTCACCGAAATATTTATTATTTGAACATAAACATATGTAATCATTTGGTAAATATGATGGATTGTAATCAATATAACATAAACCATTGTTCAAACATGGATTTTTACCACGAGATAAATCACATTGTCGTTCAATGTTACATTGTGAACCAAAACGATTTGCTGAACATATTAAATATGGTTTTGAATTGAAATAATTCGGACGACATAAGTAATTATTCGAATGATTTCTATAAAATAAAATTTTTTTTAAAAAATAAAATTTTATATTACTTACAAACAAGAACTATTGTTAGAAGTATATTCACAATGACGACCATAGGATGTATTACCACAATAACAATAATAAAATCGATCATTATTCATTAATGGATAACATGTTGCATTATTTCGACAAGGATTATTTATTTTACATAGATGATTTGTTTGATTTATTGCTTTATACTTCAATACTTTAACCAAACGATATGCTGGTAAAAAATCAAACGGTATTGAATATTTCCAAATAGCTAAAAAATCAATTGTTGAATTCATAATAGATAATTGAAATAATTCAAAACGAACAGAATAAAATTGATTTGTTGATAAAATTCTCGGTCGTGGATAAACAAAATAAAATATATGTTTCTTTTTTAAATTATTCAAAGCTGGTGTATAATGAAATTCATGTGTATCAATAACTGTATCATTTAATAAAAATGATGATAAAATTTTAAGTGTAATATTAAAATTTGATTTTAATGTATCAGTTAAATCATCAAGATAAGTAAAAATTGTTATACGATCACTATAATATTGACATTGGTTACCGTAATACGATGGTGGACAAAGACATGCTAAAAATATCTTATTAGAAAACCGATCGGTTCGACTTATTGTAATACCACGATTACAAAACCAAGCTACTTCTGAAAACTTTCTTTGTTCCTCTTGAGATTGATACAGTGGATTATTCAAAATATGAAGAACGTTTGGAGGCAGTTCTTTATCATATGGATTATGTTGACTAGTGGAAGTATCTGTACGAATAAAAAAAAAGGAAAAGATATTATTTTGCTTATATTGTTTTCAAGACACACAGAAATTATCCAAAAAACCTTTCTGTTAAGTTCCCCACTCAAAAACCGATCTCAACCCAATTACGTTCAAATAGGCTGAAATTTGGAGCATATGTTGGAGCTGAAGTGAGGAGGTTGTGATAAAAATTTCAGCGCGATTCCATGACGTTTGACAGAGATATGAACCAGACAAGGCTCAAAAGTAGCTCATTTTGCTTCCAAGATTTCTCGATCCGGTGTCTTTCAAGATATATAAATTCTTTTTTTCATTAGAAAGAGCATGTCAGGATGCGGGGCACCACAGAGTCCTATTTTTTAAATTCTTACTTTTTTAGCGGAGAAAGGAGATCAAAAGTTCAATAACTGAAAAAAGGCACCAAAAATGGGTGTCTAGTTACATGTCTGTACATATAATAAAAAACAAAGCTTAATTTAAAAAAGAACTCTGTGGTGCCCTGCATCTCGATGGGCTCTTTCAAACAGAAAACAAAAATTTTAATATATTGAAAGACCCTATACCGAGAAATCTTGGAAGCAAGATCAAAAACTCATAAGCCGAGAAAAAATGAAAAACATTTTTCGTTTTTTTCAAAATAAGCATATTTTTCAAGAAGAGGTTAGCGAAAATCGAAAATTTTGCCCAAAAACAAGGTATCGAAGGAAAACCAATATATTTTCTGAAAGAGCAGAAGACGGGCTATCTCCCCATGTATTTATCTCAATTCCGACGATTTTGGCGAAAACGGACATTTTTGAGTGGAGGAGGGGCCTTAACAAAATTTTCTGCATTAAATTTTTCGATGAATGTTCTTACAAACTGTTTCATATATAAATATTTTTAGTCAAAAAAGAAACAAACTTACTCATGATAAATCTTTGCTCATTCAAGTTCATATCTTCACTGTTGCTTATTCTTTCAACTATTGTTTCTTTTTCTTGTTTTGGAAAATCAGATAAAAGTATGGGATGTGATTGACTTAATGAATATTGTGGAATGTCAGTATACATACGATAACGAGACATTTGAGGAAAGTTTGACATAGGTCCAGTTATGCAAAAATATTCATCTTCACCATACTCACACTCTATTCGTTGATTACATTTTCCGTTCGGTATACAAGTTCCATTTAAACAATAAAAATCATTTAAATGTTCTGTATAATCAATAGTTGTCTCATTATCACAACGTAATTTTGTTTCATTAGTTACATATCGTTCATAAAAACACATAAAATCATCTTCATTATCGGGACAGTGTATTTTACATAATCTATCAGTGGATAGACAATGAGATTGCGAAGTATTTTTTAAAAAACTAGCTTGGCAATAATAGTTAAAACCTAGCATCTCATTTGATGCACAACTGAATTTATTACGTTCATCTATTCCTCCAAGACAATCAATATCATCATCACCGATTTTCGATAAAGGTATACATGGTTTGCTTAACGTGAAATTAAATGGATTTTTAATAGCATCACTTCGAATACATGGAAATTCTGTTGTTGAATTACAAAAAGTATTAAATGGACGAATTCGATTGACTTGCTTACATTCCTCTTTTTTTAATTTTAAATCTGATATTAATATGGAATTATGTAATGTTAATTCAGTAATTAGTTGAAAAGCTTCTTCATCACTTCCATCCGAACAATCCCAGATACCATTACAAAGCCATTTGAGAGGAATACATTGCCCTGTTTGACATTGGAAATAATCTGATGGGCATTTCCACTCCTTACACAATGTCTCATCATAACCATAATTCATATCCCAAAATGAATTACAATAATCACGAAATCGGATTTTATTTGCTGTTAATGGTTTAATCATGCTAAGTTCATTCGATGAATTTGTAATTTGAACAAAGGAGGACAAAGTTGAATCTTCAATATATTTGCGTAAAAATTTACAATCATTAGAATTCCTTTCAGTACATTTAATAGTTGATAATAATAAATCTTGTTCAACCACATATTCATCACGATTACTTAGTATACAATCAGAATTTCCATTTCCAATTGTGTCCGGTAGGAAACATGCATGTTCTTTATCTGAACATTTAAAGCGATATTTTTGGATTTTTGAACAATCACCAATCGAAGACAAAATTTCATCATGATCTATTTAAAAAAAAGAGAAATATGTTGTGGAAACTATTCTAGGAAACTCATGCAAATGTCAAAAGCAAAATAGAGTTGTATGATTAATTTCGAAATTCATAGAAAAATACTTATAACTTCTGAATGAAACTACAGTAGCTAGCTATTTCGATCTTATACAACTTAGAAAAGTTTGATTTTCTGTATTAAATAGTCATTTCTGAATTTAACATCTGTTATGAAAATAATAAACACATGCTTTAAAAATGTATACCCAAGGAATTGATTAATACTGATCAGAAATCAATTTTTTTTTCTCTTTTAAAGTGCTTCAAGCTGCAGATAGCTAGCTGTTTATATTGTCAGACTATTACGTTTGTAATCACTTTTCTAATATATGGACATAGATAATATGATCTAATTAAAGACAATGCTATTGATACTCCTAGTAGATTCTATGTTAAAATCTATTGACTTTTTCGAATAGATAAAAATTGTACATGATTACGAACTTGTCGGGCAATTTTGTAGATTATCTCGTACGTGATAACTTGTTAAACAATCATTCGTTATTGGACATTGAAAAATTAAATCATTCGAATATGTATTATTCCAACAGAATCGATCGTACATCGCTGAACCAACCATATCATTGGTAAGTTGTGGTATTTCCAGACCGAGAATACAATATCTAATTTCAAATGGACTTTGATGAGCACGATTACCCCAGAATTGTAAAAGATCTGTATGTGATATAACATAATCTTGAGCATTAACTTGATAACCAACACATTTAATTGTACCATTAAATACATAAATATCAGGTAATTTATTTCGCTCATAATTATGTGTTATACTATAAAATGTATGAACAAATGGTGCATATGTTGGTGATAATGGATATTTTGTAAATTGTCCTATATAAGGTGGAAATTTAGATAAAGGACAATTATTTTGTATATTTTGTCGACATTGATTACCAATACACGGACAATCAATACTTCGACCATTGGTCAGTGCACATTTATGCAAAAAACTACAATAATCTTCATCTGGATGTTGTGAACCAAAATATAAACATCGACCATCTGGCATTGTCCACATTGGCTTGTAAGGATCAAGTTCACACATAAAATTTTTATCTCTATACGAATAACATAATAAACCATCAACTAAATCGCGTCTAAATACTGCTATATCGAGAATAGAATCACCATCGCCACATGAAAAATACATTTTTCTTGTAGATATTAATTCATCACACAGAAAATTTGCTCTTATAATACACTGTAAAGTTGGAAGCAATTGCTCATCAGATGCATCTTGACAGTCAAAAAAACCATCAAGAAAAAACTCTTGATCGATACATTGGCCATTTGAACACGGATATTCCGTCAGAGGATCACATTCATTATACAACAACTTTTCGCAATGATCTTCATCAACACCATTTAAACACTGTTGTTTACCTATAGATACAAAAGCATTTTTTTCTGGTTTTTGTTCTGTCATATTTTAGTGACTTACCATCACATATATCTCGCCAATCAAGACATCTTGAGCCAGAATAACATTGAAATGAAGGCTGATAACACATTATTTGACCATAAATTTGACTTCCTAATAGATATGTTTGTCTCAATATTAATAGAAAACGCACTGAGTTTTCAAAATTTTTTGGATTAAGCAAAGTAATCAATTCATATTCACAAAATTTACCAAATGTACCATCTTTAGTACAATTACAAATGAAAAGATTATTGTGATCAGTAGAACTAAAACAAAATTCCTTTTAAATATTATTTTAAAAACAAATATTCCTATACAAACTTGTTTAAATATGCCGCATATCTATCAACTAATCCAACGCCTGAATTCCACATTAATAAATCATATGGTATTATATTCATTTTATTCAATACTTTAAAATCATATTTTTTCCCACGTTGCAAACAGTCATGGTCGTTCATATCGGTTGAAAAACTTCTTGTTAATTCAATTGATTGATTTGTTCGAATACAATATTTTATTGGTTGTCGAACATCTTTTGACTCGGAATCTTCAGTATAAGTATAATAGATACAATCATATGACTGTGTTTCAAATGAAGAACTATCAGGTTCTGTATTATATAGTAATATATGTAAAGAATATGGTCCAATTGAACCATACAACATAATTAAAAATATCGTATAAGACATCATTGATTGGTAGATGTTTTAGCTTAGATTCATTGTAAATGAACAATAAAAAATGCGATGATTATTATTATATGGTAACAGATGGTTATAGTTTGAATTTGACATAACGGTGATAGATACATGCATATTACTCTATATGAAATATTACCTGTCAATAAAAGAACTTGTCCTTCATTCAGTTTTTTTGCACAATCTGTGCTCCTACTTAAAAATTAAACAGGATCGAGATAACGCAATCTCTACAGTATTCCAATGTGAACTATGATATCAGTGCTACTGTTAATCGTAGAGACATAATACTTGCCTGTAAATTTATAGATAAATATCCCCTTCCTTTAGAATACATGGATATCCTCAATATAAGATCACATCTAAACAGCGACTCATCGATGCCTTATTAGAAAATTATACACTACTTAATTCATTACAAAAATACAGTATTTTTTGAGTATATAAACTAATAATTAGTTACATATTGCATTTTTTCTACTGCTTTTTTTTTGAGAAACTCTTTTATACTATACTATACATAGCATATTTTTAATCAAAATGACAAATTTGGATAGAAAATATTTGAAAAATATTTAACTTAAATTAATTATGATTATTAATCCTGGAATGGGTGTGGGGTATTGAGGTGTGTGTGAGTGTGGGTCTTCTATTATCTCCCACCCACACCCCAAGTAATAGAAAGAAACATACTGACCTTATTTTATCTCACTATGACTATCATTAAATTTTTTATCTGAATATTTATTTTCGCTGATCATCAAGATATTTTTCTAATTATTAAGTCTTTTTATAGTCTCTTAATGATTTCTCATTATGATATTTATATAAGACATAGTTTATTAATGAATAAAGTAATGTCAAAATTGCAACACTATAATATTATTTTCGTTAACAACGCCTCATTAGATAGTTTGATTTGATAATTATTATAGAATATGCATAGACACAAATATGACTAAATAATTTATAACGAAAAAAAAAAGTAATAACGACACTTCTTTTTCTTTTTCATGAGCATAAATTTTGTTTTTTTTTCTTTCTTGTTCTTCACAGTTGGTAACGGAGATTACAACTTCGAGAAACAAGGTAGCTGTAAAATAAATATATGGAGATTTTTTTAAATACGAAAAAATAGAATAGACAAATGAATTGGTCCTCTTTTTTAAATGTTCTGTTGAAATAACGACATTATGAATTCAATATTATGTCATTCAAGTTTTTTTTTTTCTTAATTTATCTCAAAAATACAAAGATATAAAAAGAAAATGTAGTTACTTCTTTTTTAACACAATGAATTACTGAAAGAGAGAAAATAAAAAAATTTTTTCGATCAATATTATTTACAAGTAACGTTCATCGAAAGTCGATTCACTTGGCCCTAGACTGCCGCGGTCTAGAAACGATACGTGCAGTGAGATGAATTCCCGTTTCTAGGCTCTATCCTCACAGTTTAGGGGATAAATATTAATTGAATCGACTCGGTCGTAATTTATAAAAAATCATCTTTCGTTGTGTTTCACATTGTTAGCTACAGTTCCTATGACTGGTAGTCAATGAAAAACTTATACGATTGAAATAAACATCAGTAAAACTTTTATAGTTTAATTGGTTATTAGTAGATAAGAACAGGTCCACTACTCTTTGTTCTTATTCTATCATATAATGATTAATATACATCAGCTTAAAAATACAGCTATGCATAAATATATGTTTATTTATTTAAAATTACATGCTTTTCGCGAATCTAACACATGTTTAACATATATTTATTTCAATCATTGTTGGTTAATAAACTAGAAACAACATAAATTCAAGCTTATATTTTCAAACAACTAACGTTTATTAGTACTATCTTTTTTAAATCGTATTTGTTTTTAAACTATTTCTATTCATATGGTGAGATTAGTCTAATATTTATCATAGTCACTTTAAATAATTTACTCATTAAAATAATTAAAAATAAACACTCAGACATTACATCAGTAGATATACAATGTATAATTTATCGTACAGCAACTGGCAATATTGAGAAGATTAAAGTATCGGCAAACATGTTGGTACTTCAGATTCGCCGACATTTCAATACCATCAAAACAATATCATTCATTTCAGAATATAAAACCGTCTGATATTTATTTTCAGATAATTTCTTTTCTGATTCGTTTATTATCATTATGTAATTTCATTCTGAATCTACATTATTTAAGAGGTTGAATTTTGATAAATGTATGCATTCACATAAACTAGTTCGTCAACATGAAACAGTGATTCAAAATGTTTAATGCGACACTAGATATCTCTATAATTACACGTTAAAATTGATTTTGAACTGTTTTATTTATATGCACTATAACAAGACAATTAAACTGACAAATTTAATAAAAAATATTTTACAATAATACAACTGCTAAAATTTTAAAACTATCAAATTACAAATGCATACTTTTCGAAACTTCTAATCCTTGGCATTGCTTTTCTGAATTGTCGTACAAGTCGTTTGGGCATACCCGTTATTCTTTTCATACGTGCATTAATAATATTTACGATGATGAAGAATGACATGCTACATAAAATAGATCAACATTTTCTTTGAAGTCTTAATAAGATTCTGTGTATACGAACGTTTCGTTTTTTTGTTGTTAATACTATTTTCATCTTCCTCCATATCAAGAGTAAAATTGGCGTTACATTATGATTTATATTTATTCAATAAAATAACAATATAGATATTATTAGGAAATATTGCAAATAATTAACTTAGCGCCATTTTTGACATAAATAAATAAATATTATATTATTAATAATACGATATTAGCTAATAAAACTCATTTTATCGAAAATATTCTGTACCCATTAATAAGTATACAAACCAAAATTGATGCATAGATAAGTAATTGATCCATTGTAAAATAAATAACTTCATAAAAATACTTATCAAACCTTGAAAGATTTTACTTGTTTTTTAGTTCAAATACTATTATCTATGTGTCATTTTTACCAAAAAA